CTCCTCTCCTCTCCTCTCCTCTCCTCTCCTCTCCTCTCCTCTCCTCTCCTCTCCTCTCCTCTCCTCTCCTCCTCCCCCTCCTCCCTCTTCCCATCCGCTTCAGGCCGCATGCGTCAACGCCACCCAGGACAGCGTTTCGTGGCCCCATAGGGAGCTCACCGAAGGCCCCACTGGCAGGGCCCGCATGCGGGGACCGCCACCGATTTTGGCACACCCCTAACGAGGACCGTGGCCCCATAGGGAGCTCCACCGAAGGCCCCAGCGGCAGGGTCCGCATGCGGGGACCGCCACCCATTTTGGCACACCCTTCACGAGGATCGTGGCTCCACAGGCAGCTCCACTGGAGGCCCCAGTGGCAGGGTTCGCATGCGGGGACTGCCACCCATTTTGGTACACCCCTCACACGGTTCGTGACCCAACAGGGTTCGTGGCTCCACAGGCAGCTCTACCGAAGGCCCCAGTGGCAGGGTCCGCATGCGGGTACCGCCACCCATTTAGGCACACCCCTCCCACGGTTTGTGGCCCCACAGGGAGCTCCACCGAAGGCCCCAGTGGCACAGGCCCCACGCGCCCGACATCCATTTTGGTACAACCCTCACACGGTTCATGGCCCCATATGGAGCTCCACCGAAAGCGGTACCCACAACGCGGTATTCACAATTGCGCATGGTTGGGTCTTTCGCCAGGATAGTTCAGTACGGTGTCCCCGTAATTTTCAGCCCGCTCCCAGGGACCGGTTTAATCCTGAGTCGTTTTTTGAGGGTCCTGGGGGCCGGTGAGGGTCTCTAGAGGCCGACAGATGGGAAAAACCGTTGTCTTGTTCGCAACCATCCTGTGGTGCTGGGTCTTTGTTTTGAACAGAGTACCCCGCGTCTCCTTCTTCCTCTCCTCCTCCTCCTCCCATTCCTGCCTCTGCCCTCCGCATGCCCATTACGGCACACTCCTCATGCGTTTCGTGGCCCCACAGGGAGCTCCACCGAAGGCCCCAGTGGAAGGGTTCGCATGTGGTTCCCCGCTCATCCCGACACACTCCTGACACGTTTCCTGGCCCCACAGGGAGCTTCACCGAAGGCCTCAGTGGCAGGGTTCGCGTGCGGTTCCCCGCCCATCTTGTATATATACAAATGTATATACGCATACATTCGGCACACCCATCACACGCTTTGTGGCCCCATAGGGAGTTCCACCGAAGGCCTCAGTGGCAGCGTTCGCATCTGATTCCCCGCTCTTTTCGGCACACCCCTTTCACGCTTTGTGGCCCCACATGCAGTTCCACCGATGGTCTCAGTGGTAGGGTCCGCATACGGTTCCCCGCCCACTGGCACACCCCTCACGAGATTCGTGGCCCCACATGGAGCCCATCGATGCCCCCAGTGGCAGGGTTCGCATGCGGTTCCCCGCCCATTTCGGCACAACACTCACGTGTTTCGTGGTCCCATAGGGAGCTTCACCGAAGGCCTGTGTGGCAGGGTTCGCATGCGGTTGCCCGCCGATTTCGGCAACCTCCTCACACGTTTCGTGGTCCCACAGGAGTTCACAGATGGCCTCTGTGGCAGGGTTCGCATGCGGTTTCCCAGCCATGTCAGCACACACCACACACGTTTCTTGGCCCATAGGGAGTTCCATCGAAGGGCTCAGTGGCAGAGTTCGCAGGCGGGTCCCCGCCCGCACCCCCATACATACATACATACATGCATGCATCCATTCATCCATTCATCCATTCATCCATCCATACACACATACATACATACATACATACATACATACATACATACATACATACATACATACATACATACATGCATGCATACATACATACATACATACACACATACACACAACTCCATACATCCATACATACATACACACGTACATACGTACGTACATACATACATATATATATATATATGTATAAATTTATGTATACATACATACATACATACATACATACATACATACATACATACATATATGTATATATATATGCACACATACATTCCGCACACCCCTCATACGCTTTGTGGCCCCATATGGAGTTCACCGAAGGCCTCTGTGGCAGAGTTCGCAGGTGGTTCCCCGCCCATTTCGGCACACCCCTCATACGCTTCGTGGCCGCATACCATCGGGAGCTCCACCGAAGGCTCCAGTGGTAGGATTCGCATGCGGTTCCCCGTCCATTCTGGCACTTCCCTCACAGGTTTCGTGGCCCTACAAGGAGTTCCTCCGAAGGCCTCTGTGGCTGGGTTCGCATGTGGTTCCCCGCTCATGTCGGCACACCCCTCACACGTTTCGTGGCCGCATACCATAGGGAGCTCCACCGAAGGCCCCAGTGGTAGGATTCACATGCGGTTCTCCGTCCATTCTGGCACTTCCCTCACAGGTTTCGTGGCCCTATACGGAGCTCCACCGAAGGCCCCAGTAGCAGGGTGCGCATGTGGTTCCCCGCCCATTTCGGCACACCCCTTTCACGCTTCGTAGCCCTATAGGGAGCTCCACCGAA